AGTGCAAGCCACACAGCATGGTGCATACTTAGTAATGGAAACCTGGGCTGAATAACATTCCAAGGTAAATCCCTTCATCTGGCATTTTTAAAGGGACTGAGGGAATTCAGTGGTGGATTGGCCACATTAGCTCCTTGCTAGTACCTTCTGCATCACTGTACCAGGGATATGAGGCTAAAGAGGAGCAAAGGAGTGTTTGGCTCTCTGTCCACAGTGTTATTCCCATCCATTTTCTCTTTTGGAAAAACTGTTTAGACAGCAGCAGAGTGAGTCCTCCTGTGCTATTGCAGCTTCTTACACTCTGGTGTCAAGTCTCATCTGCAAAGGCCAGCATCTCTGTGGAAATGAGATGTTTACCTGTGCTGAAGTGGGGTTGGCTCAGTTTTCAGATGCTTGATGTTATCAAGAGTCAGCTAAAACAGATGTTTTCATATTCCTGTTTCCAAAGCTTCTTTGATATTTCGAAGGGCCAGGCTGATGTAACTCTCCTTTGCATCACCTAAGTAGTAATAACAACAATAATAATAGATTTGACCACTTTTCAGTAGTTAGTATTTTTCAGGTGGGGCAGTTTGACTTCCCCACTTCCCTTTCCATTCCAGTATGTGCTTCCTGAATCCCAGCCTTCATGCTGATTGAAAGCATCTTCTCCATCACTGTCATGGAGAAAAGCAGAAGAAAATGCAACCTGATAGGAAACTAACACAGCTACTTGTTTGGCTTGTTTAAAAGCCACAGTCATGACTCAGCCTTTACCTTTTATGAGTCAGGAAATTCCAAGGTGCTCTTTTTTTGTTTTCCCCCTGTACTTTTGGGCAGACAGAGATCAGACTCTGTCTGATCTCACTTATTACAAGGGAAATCCACTACAGGCAAGGAGCTATTCCGCCACACTTTTGCAAGAGAGAACTGCACCCATCCTACTTGAGCTCCCTTTCTATTCTTAGTAGTCCCTGTGTTCTTTGGCTGGCTACAGCCCTCAGTAAAAGTGCCAGACACATCAAACAGGACAAAATAAATCAACCTATTTCCCAGTTTATTTATTCTAAGAAGACTGTAAAATGGAGTCAAATTGAGAAACCTGTTTATGAGGCCGAAAGGCATAAGGGAGGTATTGAGGAAGGAGTGATATTAAAGCATTAGCCTAACAAAATCTGAGGTCTTAACAGGGGTGTGCTACCTTTTTCCAGTTCACTGTGGATGATGTGGTTGCAGTGATGGATAGTGGTATTCACAGATATAATGTCCATGGAAAGTGAAAGGTAAAGAGAAAAATCAGAATTATAAAATTCAAGGTCCGGAAAACCAATTAGACACAGAGAACCAAAAGCAATATGGCTTCCTTGTTTTATTGAAGAGAAGAGTCAGCAGTGATTTATGGAACCCTTGCATGTTTATGTGTTGGAAGAAGGTGCCAAACTCTCATCAGCCAAGCAGACATTGGCAGAAAGATGAAACCAGCAAACTCAGACTGAAAATACGGCACAAACTTTTAATAGTGAATGTAACTGAACTCATCAAACATGAAGTGGATTTTCCATTGTTTGAAGATCTGAAATTGAAGTCTTTGAACTAGACAGAGAAGCGTATTTAAAGTCTCTGTTTATTGGGGACAGTACAAGACTCCCCAGGATCAAACCAGATGCAGGATTGCAATGGTCTCTTTCAGCACTGTCATCTGTAGAGGAATCCAAGAGCTCACAGAAGCCAAGGTGTAGGCTGTTGCCATCACTGAGTTCAAAAAGGGCTGAAATGTCCCTGTCATTTGAGATTTAATGAAATAATCCTACACCCAGTCACAGCTCTAAGTGCACTGATGTGCCATATCCACACAGGAATCACTATCAGAAAGATTTGCTGAGGCAGCCGGATGTCTCAGCACCCCTGCCCTGGAGCTGCAGGCCCACTCCTTGATCTCTGTCTCATCCAGACTAAGACAGAGTGTCTGGTTTATGAGTGTCATAAGACAAACTTTCACAAACAATGTGAGATGGGCTGTGGAGCTTCAAACAGCCAGATGTCCACTCTCAATGTCTCCATCTTTGCTGACACACTTGACCACAGCATATGCTAAGGAATTCGATGAGGGCAGTGAAATATGCAGTGGAGACAGTCAAAGAAGAGTGAGATAACCAAATGTTTTTCTGGGGAAAAAAAATCCAAACCCACACAGTGCCATTTCTGATGTCATTCTTAAAGTGTTCTTTCCTTTGATGTTGGGGTCTGATAACCCAGGAGTTTTGAACTCTTGTTCCTCCTCCATTTGCAAAGCTACTTTTGCTAGTCCTACTATCGTGGCTCCTTTGTCTCTGAGCCATTAATCACAATTTGTATAAGGTATTAGCTGCCAACTCTACCTCTGAGCCTATTACCCTAGGCTAATCCATCTAGCTTCACCTTTCACTTCATGGAATCACAGAATATGCTGAGTTGGAAGGGACTCACCAGGATCATCCAGCCCTATGCAAGACCATTCCCAAGAGTCACACCATGTGCCTAAGACTGCTGTCAAATTCTTCTTGAGTTCTGTCAGCCTTGGTGCTGTGATCACTTCTCTGGGGAGCCTGTTCCAGTGCCCAACCACCCTCTGGGTGAAAAACCTTTTTCTAATATCCAACCTAAACCTCCCCTGGCAACTTCAGGCCATTCCCTCAGGTCCTGTCACTGGTCACCACAGAGAAGAGATCAGTGCCTGCCCCTTGTCTTCCCCTCACAAGGAAGTTGTAACTGCAATGAGATCTCCCCTCAGCCTCCTGTTCTCCAGGCTGAACAGACCAAGTGACCTCAGCTGCTTCACAAATTATTCAGGGATTTGGACCCCAAAGTCAGGCACTCAGCGGTATCCACATGCAGATGAACACCAGCTGGGTGTCACAAAGATAGCAGGGTTATTTCTAAGTTCCTCAGCAGAGAAAGAGAATCCCCGTGACTGAATGTTGACAGTGTACAAGGAAGGATGTGTGCTGGTGACAGCAAGGTGAGAGAGAAATATTGAAATAGAAAGAGGTGGAATGAATGAATAGAGGAGGAATTGAGGAAAAGGAAGGAAGGATATAAAGGAGGGAGAACAGAAACAACCCTGGAGGAACCTGACAGAAAACACAGTCCCCAGCCTGGTCTTCAGGATTTTGAGTCCTGGGAAGGGGCTATGGTAGGGGAGAAGGTGATGGAGGAGAATGATAGGACATGGCACTTCCTTTAGTTTGCAGCCAATTCTGGTTGAATCATCTCCCAGGGCAACTGGGTATCCAGACTGTCACACAAATAATGTGTTCTTTTAGGACTCCCTGATCCAGATGGGGTAAAACCATTAAACTGCCCATGTCACATCACACAGCACAAAGGGATTGAAGTTGCTGTGAGAACAGGGGTACTGGAGCAGAGATTCCTTGCTCTCCCCATCCCACTCACTGTCAACCACAGCCTTGAGCATTCAGTTGTGCCAAGTCTGGGGAGCAAACCCCACTACAGCACCAGCCCACCAGGAAGGCTGGGTTAGAATCATAGAATAGTTTGGGTTGGAAAGGACCTTAAAGTCATCTAGTTCCAATCCCCTTCCCATGGACAGGGACAGCTTCCACTAGACCAGCTTGCTCAAAACTCCTCCAACCTGGTCTTGAACACTTCCAGGGATGGGGCATCCACAATTTCTCTGGGCAACTTGTTCCAGTCTTTTACCACTCCCTCAGGAAAGAATTTCTTCATAATATCTAATCTAAATCCACCTTCTTTTAGTTTAAGGCCATTCTCCCTTGTCCTGTCACTACATGCCTTTGTCAAAGGTTTCTCTCCTGCTCTCCTGTAGGCCTCTTTAAGGTGCAGGAAGTTGCTATAAGGTCTTCTCAGAGCCTTCTCTTCTCCAGGTTGAACAACCCCAACTCTCTCAGCCTTTCCTCACAGGAGAGATGCTCCATCCCTCTGATCATCCAGAGGAGCATCTCTCCTCTGGACTTGCTTCACTGGATCCACATCCTTCTTATGTTGGATGGCTGCTTAGGCTGGGGAACATGACCTGGCACACCTGAGTTCCAGGAGGTCACCAAAACTGAGCAAAGTTTAAGGAAAAATCTCAGTTCTGGTTTGGCCATTGCTGCCCAGCTGTGTCACATCAAGCAGAAAGGCTTGACTACTTTTAAATTTACCTTGACACTCTTTTAGCCCATGAATCAACTCTGGTGTTTAAGACCTGTAAAGCTGTTTAACACGATTTTTCTTCCCTTTGGAAACACTCATTTTCCTTATACTATTCTATATCAGCTTAAGGATGAAAGAGACTTTGAATTCTTTCAAATTCAGGTTTAGAAGAATGACAGCAAAAACTCTACCTTGTGCCTGGGTAAAAGAAGAAAAATACATCAGAGATGCCCCAGCTAGAATCAGGTATACATTAACAGGGATACAGGTGATCAGAGAGTTTGGGATGGGGTTTGAGTTCAGGGTGGGATTTGCACTCCCATGTACCTGAGCAAAATTTTGTATGCCCACTGCTGGCACAGGATAGAAGTATGATTGGGCACAGGAGCTGATGCACACTCCTAAACACTTAACTAAAATCATGGGAGGGATGTGTGGCATGGCAGGGGATCGGTGATCTAGGGTTGCTCTGTAAAGAGGGGAGTCCCAAGGGAACTGGTAGACTGGCTCCCACAGGATGTGCTTGCAGGGCAAATATCCTTTTACTCTTCAAATGAAGCCACTCTTTTAAAAAAAAATCAAATAAATCACACAACTGTGCATATTTGTATAAATGTCAGCTCATTAATCAAAATCAGTAAAGCCAGATCAAACATTTCTTGCTGTACATTGCAGGAGTCTGAATGCCATGAGCAACATGAGGGGTGAGCTCTGAGCATTTCAGACCTGTGCTAAAATCGCAGCGTGTTGGACCCCGGCGCTGCAGCTTTCCCTTTAAGAGCCCTTTGGCTCACGGCGATGCACTGAAACGCAGGAGGTGGGACAACACCACACACAAAAATGAAGAAGTGAAGGCAGGAAAAGTTTCTCCAGAGGAAAAATGCAGGGCTTGTCCTTCACCATGACGTCAGATCTGTCTTTAATAAAATCCCCAAAGAGCCAAGAGAAAAAGGCAGAGTGCCTACGCTAGGTTGCCAGATCAGGATTGCTCTGCATTCCCCAAAGTGGTGTTTTTGTTCAAAACGGCTCTAAATCTGGGTTCAATCAAATGTATTTAATCCCGGCTTCCAGGGATGAGGTGGCTTTTGCCCTGGATTCTAGCAGCAAGCAGCATTTTGCAGGTGAGTTTGGAAACTGCAGGAGAGACTTCTGCAAACACACTTGGGTTTAATGTAAGGTGGGCAGGGAGAGCTGAGTGTGGTGCATGTGGGAAGGTGGGCACTGTCAAAATTTGGGGAGGTGGGAGATGTGACAGTAGGAAAGGAAAGGTGAGCTGTGGGGGAGAGGAAAGGAAAGGAAAGGAAAGGAAAGGAAAGGAAAGGAAAGGAAAGGAAAGGAAAGGAAAGGAAAGGAAAGGAAAGGAAAGGAGTGCGCAGAAGTGTCTCAAAGTTGAATTCTGCTCAACATCCAGGTGGATCTGCACAGAAAACTGTAGGTTGTATTTTTTCTTTTTTTGTTTGGTTGTTTGGGTTTTTTTTTTTTTTTTTTTTTTTTTTTTTAATTGCTACTAGTTGTGTTGTGGAGCAAAAGTAGGAAGAGGTCTCCCGTTGCTGCCTGAAGCAGCCAGGCTGAGGTTGTGAGGGGACCGGGCTGGAGAGGAAAGGGCAGATTCCCGACGGGCGGAGGTGCCCGGGATGGGCCAGAGCCGAGGCAGCCCCGGTGCCGGTACCGGGACGGGACGGGGATGGGAGCGGGGCCGGGAGGTGCCGCGGCCACTCCCGCAGGTGAGGAGCTGCTGCATCTCCCCCGGGGCCGGAGAGGCAGAAGGGTTTGTTCCCCCTCCCGATCTATTGGAGCTGCCCTCTCCACACAGCAGCAGCCGCTTTCCTTCCCCATTCTCTTTGGAAAAACCTGTCTGGGGAAGCCGCTCATTTTCCAAAGGTGCAGGCGTTTTGCTTTTCTTTTCCCAGTGCATGCTCCCAGATTCGATGGAATTCTCGGGAGAGAGCGAATCTCAGTTTCTTGGACTGAGAGCTGCCGTGGGAAGGGGGTGAGGCTCCGACAGGAGCGGGCAGCGCCTGTCCCCGGTGGGGGAGTGGTCCCCTGTCCCGCGTTCCCGGAGGCAGCCCTGGACCCAGGGATCCGTGGGAGTCCCGAGAGCGAGAAGTTGCTAGGGACCCGTTCGGGCTACCCAGCTTGAGGCCAGGGAATTCCCTGAACCAGACAGACACGTGTAAGCTGTGTCTGAGCATCCCCCTGCTCTGAGTGGGATGACATCAAATACTCTGCTCAGGGGATTTTGCTTAGCAGGGCTGCCGGCACCAGGGGTTGGCTTGTGTGTTGAGAGATAAAGCAATGCTTTAAGACAGGAAAGTAGCACGGGTGATGTGGCACACCAGGCACACCTGTGCGAGAGTAGATGGAACAGAGATAAGTCCTGTGTGGATGCTGAGATGGACTGATAACAGGGTCTCTTCTAGAAAACAACCACAACACAAAATTAACAACAAACAAACTGCTCCTGCTTCTGAGGGAAGATGATTCTTACCACAGCTGATTTTTGTCCAGCAAGTAAAAAATCACACAGAGGGAGTCGTCCACAAACTCCCCAAACACTGTTACTAGAGGAGATCTGCGTGAGCCTTGTAAATTGTACCGTAGTTGTTCTGGGTTCCCTTGGTATCAGAGATGTTTGTAAAAAAAGCTGCTGTGCACCATGAAAATATGTATGTGAGTGCATGCAGGCACATGTGCCTGCTAGGGGGGTGAGGAAGGGAGTACAGTCCTGATATCCCTAGCTGCATGTTTGGTCTAAAGAATATCTAAAAAGAGTTCAAAATACTACCAACAGTAGCCTAAAAAAAGTCCTGGGTCTCAGCAGTTCCAATTCCAGCTCTCCATTGAATTCAGCTGGTGAAGTTGTGCCTTCCTGGAGCATTCAAGGACACTGTCACCTCCCACACACATCCACACGGTGTTGTACTCAGAAACACCTGAGTAGGGACAGCTTTTCCCCGGTAATGAACTGGTTTCCTCTGGGTCTTCTCCACACCTGAACTGGGATGTGGTGGAGGGTTTATAGGCTGATGAAAGGGAGATTTCTGTCCAGCACTCATAAGGGAGTGGGGAAACAGAGATGAAAAAAGTGTATGGCATGGTTTGGTGAGAGGGGCTGGGGACAGAACAACTGGGAGATAGTATTTGTCTACGTAATACCTAAAGGACTTTTGGGAGAAGAGCAGGCTTAGTTTGATCTGATTAAGGGGGATGTCCAAAGGAACAAGTAATATTGCAATTAATGGGGGATATTGTGGATGTTTAGCTGGCATGGCCACCCTGCTCATGAGAGTAGGTCGTGAGTCATAACAGAGGGGTGCTGGGAAAGCTGTAACACTACTCCACCTTGTTGTCCTTAGTGTTCATCTTTGCTGGCATATTCGTAACAGTAATAAAGATCTTTCCCATGCTGCAGAGACATCCATGAAGTGGTAGCATCAGGCTTTGCACTCTGCATATTGTGCAAAGCCTTGTGGTCTCCCTGGGGACTTGTCACTCTTTATGTATATGAAGAACTGTGGACAAAAAGAAGATGCTCCACTGCGAAAGAGGAGGGTTGCCTATCTGGGATATATATATTCTTGTTCCAGAAAGAAAGGCACAGGAGTTAATATGGGAAGGTCAGGTAGACCTTCAGAATGCCTTCTGAAAAGGCATTTCAGAAGGCAGCTGTCAGGTTAAGTGTCCCCCAATACTGTATGAAGCTACAAGCAGTTACTGAGTTCTTAAACAGTTTTACCGACAAGGTTTCGGGTTTTTTTAGATCAAAACTGCACAGGTGATGGGCTTGTGAAAGAAAAAATAACAGAGCATATCTGGTATTTCAGGTATAAGTTTTCAAACATTTCTTAAAATATTTTTTTCATAGATACAAGGGCAGAGACCATGGGAGCCCAAGTCCTGTCAACTAAGCTGAGATTCCTCAGAGCCTGAGTCATTTTTGCAGCAAGGACTTTAAGGCTGGATGTGTTGGCCCCTTTCAGTGTTGTACATTGAGGAATCAGAGCCAGAATCTTCAGCCTCTAGTCCTGATGACTCAGAAGAAGTGAGACCACTTGTTCAGATGGGACAAAATGTTCCAAACCAGGGTGATGATTAGAAAAACAATTCTGCACTTAGTAGAAAATTAATAAAGGACATTAGATAGAAAGAACAGCATTGGAGGTTTCTAAAACATTTGAAGTGGAGAAACGGGTGGTGTGTGGATATAAAAATGTAAAATAAATGATAATAGGGTGAATGGAAACCTGCAGACTTTTCCTCAGATAGCAAAGAATGGTGTTGCTCTTCATCATGTTAACTAATAGGCAGGTATTGACTGCTATATGTGATGGCAGTCATGGTGCACAGACATCAGGCTTTTGGCTTTGGTGAGTGGGAGGGAGGAGAGAGATGTTCAAAGATAGTTTTATGCCGGCATCATCTCCTTTGTGGGCATGTAGTTCACTAGATAGTTACTGATAATGGCCCAAGCTCAGGTTGTGTGGAAAGTGGTTTAAAAACCATAATGTGTGGGGTTTCCTTCTTTTTATGAGGTTTATGTTTACAGATATAAAGCCAAGGATTTAATTTGTAAAATACTTGGATTTGGTAGTAGGAAAAAATGATTACATTTCATTGGGCTCTTCCAAGCAAAACCACATTCTGACCAAACATAAACAAAAACAACAACAAAAAACCAAACAAAATAAAAAGAAAAAAAGAAGAAAAAAAAGAAAAACATAAAGGAAAAAAAAAAGTTAAAAAAAAGTGACACCCTCTTGCCTGGAAAAATCTTGTGGCTCTCCAGTGGAGGTGAGCTAAGTTTTACCTTCTTATCAGAAGGCTACAGATTTGCACCATGGCTAATGACGTACAGGTAATCTCAGGCAGAACAGGTTCTAGGTTGCTATGTCTTGTTCCTTTAACCTTCTCACCCTTCCCTATTGCTTGACAGCATCTGGTTACCAGAGATAGTGTGGATACACTTCTCTATAGAAGGGCTCTTATCCTACGCTTACATAAATTGTAGGTGTCAATTGAAATTGCTCTGGTTAGAGAAGCTGAAGATCCAGCCATGAAAATTAGCATCCCGAGGCTTGGAGCTGGCAGACAGAGTTCCCGTGGGTATGGCTGCATCGTACGTGGGGCTTTCCCAAAGCTCATCTTTTATTTGGCAGTCCCCCCTCACACATCCACTCAAAGAATGAAATCATTGCTAAGGCAACACCCTGAAGGTAGCACTGAATGTGTTCCATGTGGATCAGAGGCCCAAACCCAAGTCTGTTTCTCATGAAGATGCCTCCTAAGTACACAAACATGAACATGTGAAGTTTTTGCTGAGAGAAGCAGAAGTTTGTGCATTTTTTTCACAACTTTTCCTACTGGTATCTGAATTTGCTTTGGTAGCCATCAGCTGCCAGTGTGCAACAATCTCTTTGCCAACATCAACCACAACAGAGCTGGGGACAGCGATCGGCTTCCTCATCCTCCTTGCAATTGTACCACTGCCTGTTTGTGTCCCTTGTGTCTGTCCTTCCTCCCTTCCATACTGCACCTGCCTGCAGGTAAGGCTTCTCCAGGAAAAGGCATTATTTACAAGTGACAGCTGTGGATTTTAGCAAAAGCGTGAGATTTATATTATGACACTGCATGTCTGTCCTTTGAAAGACCTGTGCATGTTTAGTTTCTCCTGCCTTCCCTGGAAGGCAATGTTCAAAAATTTCAGAAGTCCCCCACATCCACATAGAACATTTGACTTCTCTTTTCAGAAGCTCTGGGGTCCCATGCTGGGATATTAAGAGTTGCTTTAGCATTTTGCGAGTGCTCAGCTTACTGAGAACTGCTCTTTTTGGATAGTCACAGTGTCCCAGAGGGGTCTTGAGCATTCCTGTCTGGACAGCTCTGGCTCTCATGCATGGGTGGAAATGAAGCTGTTTATAAACCCAAGAAACAATACCATGTATGTGAACCTTGGCAGTTGTTGCCTGGTGAAAGCCAGACACCCACAGCTTCAATTGGAGATATATTTGTGTATTGAACCTGACAGTGTCTCATTTTATGGGCCAGAAAACAGGGTAAGGTTTCCTCAGTCTTTCATATCTGTCACCAGGAGGTTCAGGTAGTCACCCTGGATTAAGTTATTCCTCCTGCTTCCCTCTTTGCCTTCTTACAACATAGGTCAAGCACCCTCATTCTTATGGTCCTTATGTTAAAAGGACAATTTTCTCTTCTATTGAGTAGAAACACTGACTGGCAGCTGTTGGCTTGGCAGTGAGAGGCTCAAAGGAAGTCTATCCATTTGTTTTCTTTCTGTGTTCTGATGTCTGACATCAGAATTTGGACCCAATTTCTTGAACTGTGCTTACAGCACCCAATTTCCCCATCATTCCCTCTCCATGTGTTGTCCCATCCAGGGTTTGCTGCATCCTGAGCTGAATTGTGTGCAGCCTCCCATTGCTGTGGGTTGGCAGAAGATCACAGGGCTTGATTTTTACAAATGTTTTGCAGGTCCAAGGGGCTCTGACTCTGCTGCTTTAGCAACTCTATGCAGATATTTGCCAGTGCTGCTTTGAGTTTCCTAGCTGTGGATGAGGATAACTGGTTCTCCTGCATCCTGGTGCTCTCTCAACTTTGGGATGTACCTCTGCTGGTGTCTCTGTTATTTACTGCATCTATACTGAAACCTAATGTGTGTTCTGGGATCCTGGGTGAAACTTCTGGAGTCCTTCTGATCCCTTGTGTCTTCTCATAGGCTGCTGCTGGACATTGACTTGTCATCCTTGCATCTAGGCTAAGTGTGGGAAAGTAAAAGAGAAAAAAGGCATTTTTACATCTGTGGGTGCCAACTGCTGGCTCTTGTCTACAAGTAATTCTTCTTGTGGATGGGGAAGGAAAGGAGAGCCTTTAGGCAGGAACAGCTGTGGAAGAAGATAACACTTAAGCTGAGCTTTGCAGCACAACTTGAGTAATGAATTTCTAATGCTTGGGTTGGTAACACATTCCAGGACTGTGTGGTCATCTCTGTTCCTCTTTTTCTCAATAGCTCCCACGTTCTGTTTTATTAGTCTGGGTCTGTCATTCCACTTAACCTATAAACCAAACGAGAGATGAGTAAGTTGGAAGACCAAGTTTCATGAACTCCAGGATGGCTTGCAATGAGCCCAAAGGGAAACTTGAGAGGTATTTGCAGAAATAATTGTGAGCTCATCCATAGAGGGCTGAGTCACCTGGATCCTGATGTTGCTGAACATCTGCAGAGTTAGGTCTTTGCTGTCATGAAGCAATTCCAGCCCTGCAAAAGGACCTTCTCCTAAGAGCTTGCCTTGCAAATTCATTGGAGTTCCTAGAAAAAGTGTCTCATGCTTGGTAACGGGAGGGCATAGCAAGACAACTTGGTCCAGAATTTCAGTGACACTTAGATCAACAGAGCTCACAATACCTGTAATGCTTTGGCTGCTTTTATGCCTTTTCCTTTGGAGCTGAAACAAACTCCTTCTACTCACCTTAAGGTAAACCTGCCCTTTCCCTTCCAAACGTATTGAAATAATCTCCAGTGAAAGGCTTCCAGGTGGATAGGATGGATTGGTTTTATTATTTCATCTCTAGCTTGCAACTGTGTAGCTTGACTGAGTTAGTAGTTACATTAGATTCAGAAACATGGAAATATCATATGTAGTCATAGAATTATAGAATGGTTTGGGTTGGAAGGGACTTTGAGAGGTCATACAGTCCAGCCCCCATGCAGTGAGCATGGACATCTTCAACACAGCCAGGTTGCTCAGAGCCCCATCCAACCTGACCTTCAATGTTTCCAGGGATGGGGCATCTACCACTCTCTGGGCAACCTGGTCCAGTGTTGCATTTCTTGTGTCTAATATAAATCGACCTTCGGTTTAAAACCATTACCCCTTGTGCCCTTGCAGTATCTATATGTAAGGAAAAGAACACAGTAAAGTCAGTATAGTAAGCAACTTTGTAATCCTGTATGATACTTGACACAAAATTTGCTACCTGCCACCAAGAACACAACTTTGACCAAAATTGCTCTGAATGACTCAGACATGATTATTATTAAATATTTTTTTAATTATTTCTTATTGAAAGGTAGTAATGTTTTTAGCTGCATGTGAACAGTTGCACTTTTCCCTTTCTAGAATTTGTGAATGCAACTCACACTTTCTGAGTGGCTTAAAAGTTTTTGTTCCTTCCATGCTCTACAAGTTTTCCAGACTACCATCCTGCTTTCCTGTTTTGTGATTTCTTACTGAAACTTTTTGAGTAACAAATGACAGCAGGAGGGGTGGAGGGTTGTTTCTTTCTCTTGCTGAAGTTTCCACATCTCCACGTACATATGTTTGGCCTGTGAAAGGAAGAATACAGAGAAAAAAAATGAAGCATGTCTTTGCTGAAACACAGTTTTGGGGACAACATTAATGACTGGGCAGATAATAATATACCAGGGCTTTGCAGAGAGACTGGTAATTCCCCAGAAAGTGCCATGACTATCCTATAGCTTCTCCTGACCTTGCTCTAATCACCTGTGTCATTGTCACTGCCATGCCTGATACATGGTGTCCTTGGGATTCTCGTAGTTGTGGGTGCACGAGGTTGCTCTGTATCTGCATTTTTTGGACTTGCAAATCCTTCTTTCTGGTTTGTGAAGTCCACCAATGTACTCCTGGATGTATGTGATGACCGAACAGGCTATTTGCTCACATTTATGATCACCAACTTATATTGTCTGTGACAAAGAGAATTCTCTGTATCTGGTCTGATAAACAGGCAAAGACATCAAAATCCATATGGGGAGAATTAAGTTCTCCTCCAAATGGCTGGCACATGTACTTGGCTGCCCCCAGGCTACCAATTCCCTGGGTTTAGAGTAACAGCTGTGTCATTTTAGCTGTTTAGCAAGGAAGGACCAAACCACAAAAACTGCAGCCAGTGTTAAGAATCTGCAAGTGGATTACACTATAAAACTCTTTGGCTACATTTTTATGAGGGGGGAAAAAAAGGGTGGAAAACAATAATTAGGAAAACATCCAGGTTCCATTAACTAGTTTGGGCATTCAGCAGGTGATTTATTTTTAAGTGCTGAAGGCAGTATTTCCTGCTGGATCTTGGTCTTACAAGACTGGATCATACCCACGGCATCTGTGTGTGGGCTGATATACATTGATGTAAGAGAATAAAGGAAAATTCAGTTGGCTCCTTTCTGTGAGTTTTTCTTCCACATTTGACCCTAATAGTTAAATATACAATGACATCGCTGCTATTTAACACTGCAGTTCATTTGTGGAGACCATTCTCTATTAATTTTCACATTTTACTAGAGTGACAAGTGTACATTTTTAAAATTACATTTATTCGAACATTTCTATGAGACACAGCACTCCATGAGGCTGGCAAAGGGGTCATATATAATGGAGTTATGGAGGCTGCTTGACTTATATTTCCAGATTTTATATCAAAACCTGTACTAATTTTCCTCAGAGCTTTGGGGTTCCCCAAAGAGGTAGTGTTATCATGCACGTTTAGGCTGGTGAATTCCTTGCCCAACAAAGCTACCCAGGGTGGGTGAGCTCCCGAGTTTGTGGTGGAACAATGCATTACATGCCTATTTTCAGACTCAAATATGATGCTTCTGCTTTTTTTAGATGATACACTTAATTCTGTATGATTTACATATATACATATAATAGATATATGCATATACCCACTCACCCTCCTTGTATTTTTTTGTTTGTGTCAGTTTTTCCATATATATCATACAGACAGTCTGCTTGCACGTGAGGAGATGTTTATGTCACATTTTTAACTGTTTCTCCCTGTCCCAGCTGGTTTAAAATGATTTCCAGAGGAGGCTGTAGTATTTGATCAGAGGAGTAAGTGGATATTATGGCAGTAAAATAGAGATTCCTTTAAATCCTCTGCATCCTCTGTAATTGTAACATTTTATAGAGCAATGATTAAAGAATTGAATTTGTTTCATAGACATGTGACTATATGACTATAAAAGGGTTGATCTTGTTTTTATTGTTCACCCTGTAACCTACTGGGGAAACAGAAAAACTGCCTCTGCAGTGGGAGCTGGGCAGATATAAATATTTTGGCTTAACACCTCCCTCTCCCTCCCCATACGCTTCTTAAATGTGGTTTTTCCGGCACAAGCGCTGTCTGCGGAGCCGCCTTGGCCCAGGGGGATGCTCGGAGGAAGCAGGGTGCTGTGCAGGGCTGCTGCGGAGCACCACAGTCATTTCTACACCAACACTGCCCTCACGTGTCGGGGATTTGGGAGACCCAAATGTCAGTAACCAGATAATTAGCAATTCATCTTTATCCTCCGGGAGACAAAACACACAGCTGGTGTCCTCCTCTATGTACAAAACCAGAAGCATTAACTGTTTAAGGGCTGAGATGTTGCCATTCTCCAGGTTCGCGGTTTTTTTGGATGGGAAAGCAATACCCTGGCCCGAGCAAGTCGTGGGGGGGGTTTCTGGTTTGGTTTGCTTTGGTCTGGTTTGGTTGGATTTGGTTTACATTATGCCATTTATAGTATCAGCAGGTCTCCACATCACAAAAGGGGAATTTTGGAATTTTGTCACCTGGTCGATTTAGACCTGGGCCCCAGCAGGTATCGTAGCTGCCTGCAAGCAAGAGTGAAGCACCCATTTCATCACTTTGCATGGATCTATCAAGCCAGAAACTGTTGATCACCACTGGTGTGTTGGATTCGAAGGTGTTGGAGAGGTGAACAAGTCCTGTCCTTTTGCAGGCATCAGATGCAAGTGATGGTTGCATTGAAAGTCAAACATTAAGCAACTGACCTTGCTGAGCTGACAGCATCTGAGACTCAGCTCAGTAGAACAATTGCTTTTTTGCATCCAGTAAGAACCCAGTGACTTAGTTTATTAGCTGTGTGTGGGAGGAGGGATCATGATATTGTTACAGAGTAGGAACAAGAAATTTTACTGCTATTTCTGGCTCTGCCACAGACATCCTGTCTGCCTTTGGGACAGTCATTTTATCTCTCGGGCCCAGATTAAACCAGGATCATTTAATAATTTCATCCTTGTGAAAGGTGCTTCTTTCCACCATGAGTTCCTCCTAGACACAGAATGTGACATGCTCTGCCTGCTCATGCAAGTGACATGTGTGCATTCCCATTTGGAGATCTGATACCTCTGAGTATACCAGCTCTCACATTTACTGCTTGCACCATTTTCTTTTAGGTTCACTCTCTGGCATCTTATTTTACCAAAGAGCTGAATTTCAGTTCTCTTTCCACTGACTTGAGGAGCAGGGAGATTAATTCTCCAGCCCAACACATCATTTTTCTGTAGTAATAGCTTCACTCCTTTCCTTTTTTTTTCCTAATGAATTTGTGCCAGGAAGTGTTCTCTTTTCTTCACTTGTAGTTTCCACTGTATTTAATTGAAAAGTAATGGTTTAGTCCCCAAAGTCTTGTAAAAGCCAAGGGCTAATCTACAGGCCTCTCTCTTTTTTCTTTCTTCCCCATTTGTGTTATGTCAGCTTCTGTTGGGGGTGGTGGGGAAGGAACAGCTGCTTTTTGGGGCTTTCTGTTGTGTATTAAAACAGCATCTGAGATTCAAGCGTGTCTGGAATAACGTTTGTAGTGCAAAGCCCAAGCTGGCTCAAGAGCTGGCTCCTCTTTTAAGCCCCCTCATTCCTACTGCACAAATTTGCTCGTTTTGCTGTTTCTGGGCCAGGTCTTTGGGAACAGCCTGTTCCCCCTGTTCAGGAACTCATCACCACCCCTTCCTCCTCTTTCACAACACGTGGGACAAGATGCTCTCTGTAGCTATCACTCTGCTGACTCTCCTCTGTAGCAGTTCTTGCTAAAAAGCCCAAATACCCCTTAGAAAAGTTGTTTGGATGAGCCCACCCGCCAAGCCTCACGTGTGAGACTTACGTGGGTGATGGTGATCTTCTCTCCAAGCTCCCTTTGGCTGTCTCTCCCTGTGACCCTGATGGCCCCTCATCCTGATACTCTGCTCAGCTACTCCTGTGGGCAGCCAAAACGTGGCTGGAGAACCCCAGAGTGTTGTCCTGTCAGCATCAAGGACATGCTGCTTCCCAGGGCTGCATTGTGGGGCTGCCACGGCAGTTAAATCCAGATTAGTGACCTCAGTGGCTGGGCATCCACAGCATCAGGTGGCCTTACTCTGACATGGGACTCCAGGGTGAGAGATGGGCAAAAACCTCCTACAGAGCTGTGTCACAATGTAATGGCCCTCTGAACTTGCATGAGGGCTTAACCAGCTTTATCCAAGTCTTCCAAGCCAAATATTCTCAGCCAAGTACTGCTGATTTTAAGAAAGGGAAAGAATTCTTTTCCTAGCCATGAGCTAGCAGCCAAAAGAAGGAACTTTCCTGTGCCAGGTCCGTAGAATTTTGAATGTGAGCTTCATGGAAATCCAGACCAAGACAGACCAGATGTAGAGAAATTGCCCATGACAAAGTAAGGAAACTTTACAAATGTGAGAGAACATCGAGGTGAAAATTTTGAATCCAAATTAAAGGTTTTCTTTAAAGAATGTTATCAAGTAGCCAATCTATTAAAAAGAAATTTCTCATAAATTTGAGCTGCAGAGAAGATCTCAGAGCATTTGTTGATGGGAACTTCCTTAGTTCAGTGCTGAAGAATTACTATTTTGGAACAAAACCATTCTTTTATTCCCTTCTCATGAATGTTGAATAAATCTGTCTGAAGTATTTGAGTAGTAGTCATTCTAAATGATCTTAATGTTGTGAATGTACCTGCTGCCTCCTAGCAGTTGCCCTGCATTTTCAACCTCTGCCTGTTGAAACCCTCGATGTTTTTTGGTATTCTTAAATCTCTTAATATTTTGCGATCATAATATTTTCTTTTAATGCTATTAAAGTTTAAGTGAGGCACATTCCCTACTGTTTTCACTCCATGTGGATTATTTGATGCTATGGCTTGAAATGACAGATCAACATTTACCCTGAATTGGGTAATCACCTGAAAAAAAAAAACCCAAAGAAACAGGATATAGATCTAAATCCCTCTTAAAGATTAAGAATAAGGCAAAAATGTAGCAGAGTAAATGTAGACCCCAAGCATGCTCTCTGAAAAGCCACTGAAAAGCCACTAAGAAGTAGGCAGTATCTGTTTTCCCTCCTGATTTGGGGAGTTCATGGTTGTGGGTTCTGTGAACATGGGGTGTGAGACCCTGGTTCTCAAGAGCCAGCCTTCAATTCTCCTCAACCTCAGTGCAGTTTGTAGCAGACTTGAAATTATTAGTTGTTGGCTTACAAGATGAGTGTATTTGGAAAAACAAAATATTGTTCCTTCTCAATTTGTATCAGTCTCTTCGTAAAAAGCTTTCTTGCACGTGTATCTGTGGTTTGTTTTTCCTAATAAAAGAGCCTGAGTAGAAAGGATACCCCAAATGACATGTGAGTAACAAAATTCACAGTTTTTCGCTCACCTTCTGACAGAGGCAAATGCATTTCCTGCCATTTTTATAGTTCTAGTGAACTGAAAACAGAAACAGAGGTGGGGGAGGAAGAAAAGTCCTTTTGTATTGCAATTAAAATGCTGAATTCAACTGTTCTCTTGGAAAGCTAATGTGAGCTCTGTGTGGGGTCAGATACAGGTCCACACCAGTGTTCTAATACCTCTTTATTTTTCTCTACTTTGTGTCTGAACTCAAATTGAAACCAATGAGATTTGGACACTCCTCTGAGGCTGGGACCTGGGCTGAGGAAATGAAGAAATAGGAAATTGAAGTTATAACTTCTTAAGGCTATTCAACCAAGAAGAGTAGGGGAAATAGGAGAAAAGTGGCCTGGAGACCAGAAGAAATGTTGGGGTGTATGTGCAGAGATGGATAGTCACAGAGGCCTCGTCCACAGAAATTTGGCTGCTTCCGGCTCAGCTTGACCTAAGGGCCTGTCAGTCAGCCCCATGCCAACAAATTCCCATCGTGTGAGACTTCCTTGAACCTTGAATAGGCTTTATGTCTTCACAGTGGCCTGAAAGGTGGATGTTATTTCTGATAAGTGCTGTGCCAGCTTGCTGGAACCTGCTCTCTCCCCTCTCTGTGCTTTGTTGCTGAAGAGTTTGCACAGTTGAGGTCCTTCTTTTTCTGTGTGTGTTAAATCTCTACTGTTAATCTCCTTGGTAGATTTGAGAAAGAAAAGGACAAGTTTAAAAATGCTCTTCTGACTCCAGATTCCAGTTTCCTGTTGATACAGCTGTGTGTTTTCTACTGGATGGGTCCGTAAACAGATGGTTTAACCCTTCAATTCTTGCGGTTGTGTTGCTTCAGCATGACCAGTTTCTCTTCGGAAAGAAAATTTCCCCTCTTGCTTCTGTCCAGAGCATCCTTTTTTTTCCTCCTTCTTCTTTTTGCACATCCCCACGCATTTCACATCCTGCTGTGGTTTACCACTTTACTCAAAAAGAACAGGATTTCCTTGTGCCTTTGGTGAGAAAACTTCTCTCCTTTACAACCCCCACTTTCTAGTGTTGTGTTTGTGGAGGGAAAAGTAATTACACCTTCTAAATTTAACTCACAGTAATTAAAATTCAATTATCAAATTTCCTGGCAAGAGCACCAGCAGAAAACCAATGTACCAGAATTCTCCATAAAAAACTTCTAGTGTATGAGATGAGAACTCATCTTAGCATAAATTACATGCCAGGGTATTTCAGCCTTTCATACCATAACAAAATCTTCATCTGTTATTGTTTTCATTCTGGTGCTGAGTCTGTTTTCATTCTGCTTTAATCGATGGCATTGGTGGCATCACATCCATTGATGAGGACCTGGCTGCATCTCGCTGTGCCACCCTGGGTGAAAACTCTCTGCTATTGAAGCTACAAGTATATCCAGCCTGAGGAATATGCTGAGTGCCAGGTCATTGTTCCTCTTATCAGAACAAAATGGAGAAACCTTTTCTTTTTGGCTAAAGTAGGTGGTTTCAAGGTGCTCAGCTGTGGTGTTCCACCATATTTGAACTCCTCCAGACACATCTGAAAGTCATATTCAGAAAAATTCATATGCTACAAACTGAATACTGATTTTTCTATGAGTGAGTAGATAGAAATTTTTTCTTCCCAGGCACAGCACCAGGAAAGCCCTGGATGTATAGTCCTTTAAACAGCTCTCGTTTTCCTACCTCTCCCTATTCATACCGATATCTTCATAGGGGAACTCTCTTGGGATCTCCCTTGCCCTTATTCCCTGGCTGCCATCTCCCTTGATGGTAGCTGCATGTTCCTCCATGGTCTGGGCAGTTCACAGTCTTCAAGGTTTGTTTCTTGTAGCCAAAGAAGTGTTACCACCCCTGTTCTGCAGACATAGAGAGGCTAAAAGCTGAGTTCAAACAGCAAAGTCATGCCCTAGTCTTCCAATATAGCGTTTACCTTCTCTCCCTTTAGCTGTCTCAAAGTTAGGCATTTTATCTGGAGTAATCGAGTCTCCTGTGCGGTCAGTGCAAGGATCCCCTCAGCTGTCAGCAGAGAGGGGCCCAGGGTCTGCACCCAGCAGCTTTGAGCGCAGCTCGTTGCTCAGAGGAACTGAGAAGAGTGGGGTTTTTTACATATCATTTCACCAGTGCCAAAGATTCCATTAATCTACTACTGAGTGTCTCATAAATGTAGTAAAGGTTTATAACCAAACTTGCAATCTTCTACAGCACTACACAGAGAGCTGGGGACTTGCTCCAGGAAATTTTTGAAACCAATGTCCATAAACATTTGACTGCCAGAGGTTTTATTTGTTGACTAGCTCAAATTAATTTGACTGTGCAAATCATCTTTCATTACCATAAATATTCTTTTAAGGCATTGCTTTTTAAGTGATGCTGTTCTGCCTGTCATTTATCCTTTGCAGTGACTATGAGAAGTGAACAAGGTGCATCCATGTGCAATAACAGTGTGGCTATGTGGTCTACATTAGAAAAGGAACTTCTCTTAAGGAACTGCTGTTAAAAACAAGCTGCTTCCACTGGCTCCTTTTAGTAGTCTCATTTATAACTGTGTCTTACTAAATGGGCACCTCCAGGTCCCAGTCAAAACTGATTTACTCTCCTCCTCCCTCCATCTATGCCTATCTAGTGACAAGCTGAAAGAGCTGGGGTTGTTCAGCCTGGAAAAGAGAAGGCTCCATAGAGGTCTTATTATGACTTTCCAGTACTTATAAAAACAGCTTATAAAAAAGAACAGTGACTTTTTACATGGGCAGACAGTGATAGGACAAGGGGCAACAGTTTTAAACCAGAAGAGGAGAGATTTAGGTCAGATATTAGGAAGAAATCTTTTACTGTGAGGTGTGCAGTGACACAGGTTGCCCAGAGCAATTGTGGATGCCCCATCCCCGGAAATGTTCAAGACCAGGCTGGATGGGACTCTGAGCAACCTGGTGTGGTGGATTCTTGCCTTTCCTGGGGGAAAGCTGGTCTGATATCCTCTCGGTTATGTAAGAACTGAGTAGTTTCTAAATTCACCTTTAATAGCATGAATTGACCTGCAATAGCTGTATGCCCCAAAACTTTGCCCTCCTGATAGACTTGTCTTGAAAGCAGAATTTTCTTTTCCTTTCTTAAGAAATGAAGGGTTTGTTTGTGTTTGGGCCTGTAGCTTACATGAAGTTAATGACAACTATAAGAAAATTAATAACATGTAAAAGCAGTTCATGGTTTTACATGTCTTATTAGATGCTCTCTTTGGAATTGCAGTGCTGGTGTTGATTTGTAGCATGATCCCCAGAGAGGTTTAAATCTCTTGTGGAGAACTTTCTTGTCTCAGATAGGTGCCAGCTTAAAGGGATTAGTTTCATACTAGATGGCATTCAGTCTGTGGATTCTGATGTCCTTTTGCATATCCCTTAGGTTCAGGTACAATCCTGAACATCCACTGGTCAGATTATGTGACCAATACATCTGTTCTTGAACAGGCAGCAATCACAAGTATTGAGGCCATGTTACTGAGAACACAGCTGCGTTGGGCAGGGCATGTCTCCAGGATGAAGGACCACCGCCTCCCTAAGATCCTGCTTTATGGTGAACTTGCCTCCGGCTGCCGCAAGAGAGGAGCCCCGAAGAAAAGATACAAGGACTCCCTGAAGCAACAACTCAGCCTCGGGCATATTGATCACCATAACTGGTCTACTCTGGCCTCCAATCGGGAGGCCTGGAGACAGACCATTTATAACGCTGCTGAGGCTTTTGAGAAAGCACGCAGGATCACTCTTGAGGAGAAAAGACAACGCAGAAAGAATCGAGCCTTGCAGAATATACCATCTAAGGAGTCTTTCTGCTGTGTCTTTTGCAACCGGACGTGTCTATCTCGTATTGGCCTTTTTAGCCACCAACGCACTTGCAAAAAACGTGGGTAGAGCCCTTCCCAAATCTTCGTTCGCGAAGCCTAGCCATGAATGATGAGGTTCAGGTACTGTATGGCATTTCACACCTGACTATCACCAAGCCTGAGTTGGGGAGCTGGGTAAGAATATCACTGGATCTCAGTTCCCCAGATATCCAAGGAAAAGGATGCTTCTTTACAACATTCTCATTTTTGGTAGACCACAAACTACTTGTGCAGGCTTGTCACTTCTAACAGTTCATACAAAACTCGGGAGTGTACTGAATCTGAAACATCTGGTGATAAGTACATTGAGTATCCTCAATTTGCCGTCTCCTCCTTTCTGCTTACAAAACCTGTACTCCGATCTACCTCAGTGTCTCAACTACCATCTAAAAAAGTTAACAAATTACAGATTTGTTTACTGTTCTTTTCCATTCTCGTAGCCTTAGGCCAGTGATGGTCTCCAATATCATTTTTGCGAAGGGTCATTGTGTACATGGTTTGGCAAGCAGTGTCACTGCTCCACATGTTGAGCTAGTAAATTTCTTCAGATAGGCTGGGCTTGTTCCAGGGATTTAGGCAGATAAGCTCAGCAAAGCTTGGGAAAAGGAGGCCTCTAGCTAATCACCACACTCCTGCTAAATGATCTCACCATAAAATTGGCAAGGTCGCTTGTGTTGATCTCAGTTTAACTTCTAATATGAGCTTACAGCAATTCATCATTTCTCTAGCTTATGGATCACCATGTTTCTGGCTTGTTGCCTGTGTGGTGCGCATGGGCACAGACTCCCTTCCAACCAGGTTCTGTACATTTGAACTCATGCAGAGCTTGCAGTTACATTTCTATTGAATGTACTGGTTTCATTTAAAAGTTCTTAGTCTATTTCTGCATGACTCTGTGTTCTTGTTTTATGGATTTTGCTTTCTAAGTCAGAAGCAGAAATGCTCAGAAGTGTGTGCTTAGCATTCAGCTCCTTGCTTCTCTTTTTAGATACCAGGTATCACTGCTACAAAGGACTTCAGATTTCCTTTTTAAGAACCTTTTTGGCACATTCTAAAGTACAGGGACAAAATCTTCTGGGGGGATTTTAAAAGGCAGTTGTTTGACATTGGTAACCTGTGATATGGCTAAAAGCTTGATATCAGCTTTAGGAAGAAAACAGATTAGGAAGATAATGTCTCTCCAGGGAATTCAATACTTCAGTTCCTTGAGGATGTGATTTAAAGCAGCATCTGCTCTGTGCTGTGTAGCATTTTATACTTTCCCTCAGATCCCTGAACTGAAGATTGTTTGGATATGTGTCTATTTGTGTGACTCAGTTTATAGCACTCAATAGAAATGTCGAGGAAATACCGTCTAGGATCTTGAAAGAGAGGCAGAAGGGACTTACGTGGCATCCCACCCTTAAGGAGAAGAAAGCACCTGAGATTTTCAGATGCTCAGGTTGAAAGGAATGACAAAAGTTAGAGGGTCCACAAAAGTTCACAAATTTTTATTAGCAAATTACACACTTGGCTTGGAAATTGGTATAAGTAAGTCTCTGTTCTCCCAGTATAAACACATGGCAGTGGGTTTTGGATAAAGGGGTAGGGTGAAAGGGAAGGGAGAAAGAGAGAGACATGGATTAAAGAGGGTGAGAAAGAGAGAAAGGAAGAGAGATCAGTCCTGTTGATCCAGCTGATGGAGTGCCCAGGGTTCTGAGGGGAACACATGCCTGTGCTTCATGGGAGTACCATTTCATAGATAAGTTTTCCCTGCCCTGGAGATAAGTTTCTCACTTTCTGTGTAAATTAGTTATCATGCACAGTCCGTTTTTCTAGACCTTTATGGAAATGGGTCAGAGGGTTTTGGGGGTCTTTGGTGGTCTTGATGCCCCATACAGTTTGTGCCCACTTCTCAATCAGATGCTCACAGAGTTTGATGAGGAAACCAGTATAAGGTGTTCAGTTCCTTTTTCCTCTTTGTGATAACATGGGGACTCCAGTTATCTCATGTTTGTGGTTCATCCCTCACCCTGTCTTTACCATGTAATATGACTTTAACTCACAGAGAGGTTTTGTGGTTTGTCTTCTGACTATGTGAGTTTTCAGAGATTTCTAGACGCCTGGTACTTTTTCAGAACATCAGTTCAATTTGTTGCTGTCTGGATGTATCTTATGGTCTTCAACTTCTTTTTCCCTTCCTTAATTTAAATACTAGTCCACTTGGTCTTCGGAAGTTAATCTGTTCTTTCTCAGAGGATCTCACTGTGGGTCATATCAGCTGAATTTTTCACAAAAGAGATGTGAAAGTATCACAAACTGAGCTGAGCTATGGTGGAGACCAATGTGAAAGACTTGTCTTGCAAGCACAACACAGCAGTGAAGTGGATAGGGTTTGGCATTGCTAGTACTTAAAATTGCAGTATTGCCATTATTCTTTCCCCTTGCTTGGTGTATGATCCAATCTGATGATACCTCTCTCCCACTCTGGGTGTCAGTGCTCTCCTGATTTGGTTATCTAGAAAAAGCCTCAGGCTTCAAACCAGCCAGATTCTGGTTGAACATTTGGATTCCATGATTCTGTGAAGAAAAGCTGCTTCCCTCACAGAAGTGAGGCCAGATCATATTCAGATCAGATGACCAGTGTGGCAGGTATTGATGTGGATGCCTTTGTTTCAAGTGTACAAATGCTGATTTACTGGTCCCTCTGCACACACAGAACTAACTCACTTCAGATGCTACAGGAAACGCCATGATTTTGCCTGGCAAAGGCTAAGATAACATATATCATTTCAAGCGGGATCATAATGTTCTGGAATCAGACTCTGAATTAGTGTCAGGTCCTCCTAAAGTATGCAGGAGTCTGGCATCTTCTGTTGGCCCTAAGGATATTGCTGACCTATATGTCTTCCAACTGCATTCTCTGTCTGACAGATCTCATAAAATACTATAAGCTACAGTTACCAAAATATGCCATGCTTGGCACAAAAATATCCTTTCATGATAGGACTCTGTATCTGGAAATGCTGCTGTTTATTCAGATAAGTTGTAGGCTCCATCTGTTTTTTACTTAACCACAGGGATGTAGCAGTGCAAAGACTGCTCATCATTGAGAGCCTTGAGGTGGCTTTGATATAATGATACAACACTGTCTTAAATGGCAGCTACGTTGTTTTGGATGAAGCCATGTGTGCCATGTGTTCCAAAGGGGCCGTTAAAGTAGTAGCAGCAGCAGCATCTCTTTCCTTCTGTTATCTCGAAATCTTCCAGATACAAAACCAGACTTCTGGTAGGATTCCTGTTATCAGATAAAATAATAATTAGCTGCCAAATAGCTTTTTTGGCAGTGCTTAAGACAGGAGAGAGGGTGGATTAGAACAACAGAATTTTTTTGTCTGTACTAAATGTACCTTTTAACAAATAGATTAGTTTTTATTCCCTGAGCCAGAACCAGACTTTAGGTAGCACAATGCAGGACTGAACTGATGAGGACATCTTGTTGGTCATTTCAGTTTACAGGCATATTCTATGTGTGGTTTTGGCAAGGTGTGCATTCACAGTCTGTCAGTAATGCTGATTGTTTGTGCTTCCTGGGGATCTTAATGCAACAGAAAAGGACGGAGAATTCAAAGCCTCCTGGATGATCTGTCTCAGTGATGCCTTTCTCTTCTAGTAAAGAAGTTGCCTTCCTGATGTTCAGACTGAACTTCCCCAACTCTATTTTTGTGGCTGCTGCCCATTGTATACCCTCTGCTACCACTGGGAAGAGTGACCTTGTAGTAGATCACCTGTTAACCTCTTTGTCAGACTAACAAAGCCCAGCCCCCTCAGTGTGTCTTCTCCTTTTGGTCTCTGACCATCTTGGTTGCCATACTCTAGACTGGTAGTTCCTAGGTACACCATTGACCGTGAGGATTCAAAACTGTAGTCCAGGAAATTAATTAATCTACTGATATTTCACCAAGACCAGATTCTTTTCCATATTCCATCCAAACAATTTAATGCTTGCAAAATGAGAGCAAATAGCTAGCCCTTAGTATGGATTTCAACAGGGAAGAACTTTGATAGTTGGAAAATAAAATAATCAACTCAGACAACTCAGAAAGATAAAGCTGGGGGAAATAGCTGTGGTAACTTGATATGGAGGGGAAATTGCTATTTAAAGGAAATAGTGTTGCATGACTATGTCAGTTCATCAGCAGCTCTAGGGAAGAGCAGATATTAGGTCAAACATTGTTTCAGATTTCAAAATTTAAATGTCAATCAAATTTAAAAATGAAAAGTTGTTATAAGTCAAAATTCTCTGCATTGGAACAGAAACAGAAAATGGTTGATACTTGAAAATGTAGATTTCTATTTTTATTAGAAAAAATCATGAAACCCAAGATAACTTAGAAAAATGCCATGAAATCTGTGCTATTCTTTCCATGGTGGTAAAACCTCCAATGACACAAACAAATAAGAAGAGCTTGATAATTTTTTATTTTTTTTGCTCAGCTTGGAACAGAGTTTCCCTAAGAGGGTAAGAGGACAAAAAGCATCTTCCTTTTGATTTCAAGACCATGACTGAAAAATAGGAGATAAGCAAATGCAGAACAAGACTATTTGCAAAGTACAACCTTTGCCAAAGCAGCCTGCTCGTCTGGCAGCTGGAACTCATACTTTGGTTATCCAGCTCATGGCTGTTATGTCAATATCTTGTGCTGTACAGTTTTAGGATGGTTTGTAACTCTATGACCTTGTATGGTCCCCATGCACTTTTCCTTTCCTAAAACTGATGTCCATCTGCTTGTCCCTTCTGGAGACTTTTCTCGTTGTTCCTCCAGATGTTCCCTGTTACTTTTCATACTCCAGTTCAAGCCTGTTTCATGGGATGAGCTCATTAGATGCACAAACCAAACACTTGCAGTTCGAGACATTAAAATGTTCTTAGAGCACAAAACTGTGTTGTTTAATATCTTGATTTGTGGAGTCCATGGTGACAGTGTCAATCTGTTAATGGTGCCCAAACATTTTTAGGCCACTCTATTCTAAGTGCTGCTTCTACTGGGACAGCACTTACAAAACATCAGGTTGCATTCTAACGGGGAAGTTTTTTCCCTCTGCACACTCCACGGAAAAATATGAAGAAAATGTGAGGCCACACTGAGTTTGCC